GATGCAAATCGGACTTGAAATCCTATAACGTGATTGGCGCTTAGCTTTATCCTTTAAAACAAATAGTATTTTAGGTCTATCGGTATTCTGCATTTTTTCTAAGATAAGTTACATCTTTACTTACCGGACAGAATGAAAATCTCTAAAAACGGTAAAATGTCGCTTAGTTAAGTGATGTATAACGCGGTCCAATTATGAACATGAAAATTGGTACATTATCATTTTTGAGGCGATAAATAATAATTTGGTATTAGTTTTATTTTATTTTTCAGATGGCGCTGCCTACCCTAAGACACTCACTTAAAGTAGTCATATCTTTTTCATCGTTAAAATTTTTACATCTCACACAACTTGAAACAGTTTCTCGGACATTTTTACATAAATTTGGTATACCTACCAATTATCTCTAAAGTTCTCCGTTTCCAAGATAATTACTGTTTAAGCGCACAACGCAAAATTTAACTATACTCAGTAAACATTACTTGGCAGTGATATACTATATTACAGTACAAGTGAGGAAACTAACATTTTTTATTAACGCGTATGTGGGTTTGGAAAGTGGAAAGACATACAAGTTAGTGGAAAATATTAGTTTCCCACGTGTGCTGTATAGTGTTTTGTTCAAACCTACTATTTAGAGAAAACTCAGTTTTAAAATTCGTTAATTCCTGGGTAATTTCATGTCGACATGTTGGCGACGGCAGCAGTTTTTGACATTGTCAATATTATTTTAATTTTTTTTAATTTATTGATATAAATAACCATTTGTCAAATTGTCAATGGTCATCATTATGCATAAAATTAATAAATTAATTAAAATTAATAATTTATACAAGTGAAATATTTAATTAACTTTCTACGTGTGCTGTCCACCGTTTTTTAGTTAACATCCGTTACGTTTGAACAGAATCGCACATGACCATCTTTTGGTATTGCGAGCTACCGTAAAATATAAACAGTGTCAACTCCACCTTTTGTCGAATTATAATCTATGATTATTTCTGGTTTATTTGCGGCTATATTACGAAATCAACACTTTATTTGTTTGAAATCCAAATAATGTCGAAAGAACGACACTACTTTTATTTGGTAAAAATGCTGATAGGATTTTTCGCTTGTTCTTTTTTATTGTTCTAGTCAGTGTTAATTTCTTCTGTAGTAAATAATCTGCTAAAGCAATCGACCGTCCAAACACCATAACCCTTAATGGTTTTCGAGAAAAAAATCATTCTTACAAACCGCGGATGGGACTTTAGGGGTGAATTTGACACCGATGGGCACTTCTGAAATTGATGAAATTTTAGGATGATTTAGAGGGTGCCTTTAGCGATTTAAATCGACCGTCAAAACACCATAACCCTTCACGGTTTTCGAGAAAAAAAATTTGTCGTTAGACTCCATACGTATATGACGCGACGCGGACTTTGGGGGTGAGTTTCAAGCCGATGGGCACTCTGAAATTGATGAAATTTTAGAACGATTTGGAGGGTGCCTTTAGCGATTTAAATCGACCGTCAAAACGCCGTAACCCTTAACGGGTTTCGAGAAAAAAAATTTGTTGTATTCTACATGTATACTTGTGAATTTGATGAAACTTTAGAATGATTTGGAAGGTGGGTTTTTGATAGAAAAAAAACTTTTGATAGAGAAAGAAATTGACTGTATCAATTGTCTGTATAATTAAGTTTATTGCTACAAAATCAGCATTACATTCCACAAACAATTAAATTTTAACAATACTACAATTACATATATCACATTACAATACAATACATTTTATTTCCTATCCCACCCCTCCCCATCTCCTCCCCGCATCTCCCTACGCTGCCTTGTCGCCACCACCTCCCTCATCCATTCTCTTCCCTCTGCCCTCTCCCCCAGCACCTGCTTCCAGCCAATCACCTCCTCTCTTAGCTCGTCACACTCCCTCAGTAGGTGCTCCAACGACTCCCACTCCCCCCCACATAGCCTACAACCCCTCTCATCATCTCTCATCCAATACCTATTCGCTCTCTCCTCATTGCCGCATCTGAATCTTGCCACCATCCTCTTCCCCTCCTCATCCCCCTCCACCGACAGATACTTCGGCAATCCCTCCGTTATTATTTCCTCGTACTTAGGGTTGTACCTGCTCTCCCTTATCTGCCCCCTTCTTTCTTGCCTCTGTACATCTCTCTCCCTGCTCTCCAGCTCTTTCCACATCTCAATCCCTTCCCTCCTTCTATCATCTACCGCTTTCACTGAGTACCCCACCCTTCTGAAATATTCCTCCCTTCCTCGTTTCCCGTAACCCCCTTTCCCTGCCTTAATCTCTTTCCAGCACTCCCCCAAAATTTTACATTGAGACCTCCCTTCAACCCTCTCCTCAAAACGTACCGCCCTTTTACCCGCCTCCACTCTTAACTTATCAACCTTCACCTCTTCTCTGACTATGTACTCCGGCGTCTCTTTTGCCAACCCCAAAACCCATCTCCAATACCTAGCCTGTACGCCTTCCAACAGCCCTTGCTCTTTTCACCCCCAAAGCTCCGCCCCGTACATCATAACACTTCTAATCAAGCACTCGAANTATATTAATCTCCAACGCTCTCACAATTCTCAGACAATTTGTCATACCGTCGTTAAAATTGCACACAGCAATATCAGTCGCTATGATCAACACCTTTTTACCGCTTGAATATGACTTTAGAGCTAATTTCCAAACAGTGGAATTAAAGCTCTCATTGCTGTTTTGGGTAAAGCTCCACATAAATTGGTTTAATAGCTTGAAAAACTTCCTGCGATACAGGCAATTTATGATGAAAGGTGTCTAATGAACCCATTGCTTGCGCCTTTTTCCAATCACACCATGTCTCGGAACACTTGTTATACTGCGGATTTTCGTCGGTGGAAATCTTATGAAATAAAGTCGCCCAGATTTCGTTCGAGATAAATTGATAGTTGATCGATTAATTTGGCAGTCACTTTACCTTTTCCTCCTAGACCTTTCACTTTTTTTTAGGATTTCTCAATCGAGTGCCCATTCTCTTCTGCACATGATCAATGCACCCTTTTTTTTTTGAACGTCAACATTTTTATATGGATTTTCCTCTAATATGCCCGTAAAGGTTTTACTGTTGGCATCTCCAACATAATTTACATACTTAATACCATGTAACGTTTCAGAACGTTTGAACATTTTGACAACAGCGTCGACTTTCATTTTTCCTGATGAATCCTCATGATTGGCTTGGCAAATTTCGGCGTGAGTTTTAAGCCACTCTTCATATTCAGTACCTTCCAACTTACTTTTCCAATGTTTACAAGACTTACAGTACTTCGACTTTACTTCAACGTCGACTATTTTGCCGGTGAACCATCCAATTAATGACGTTACTCCGAAAAGCGACGAAACCCACGTTTTCTCCACGAACCGTCACCGGAAACAGTTATTCCTGTAAGTTGTATTTTCTTCACTTTTCTTCTTCCGATGCTTCATACCAGCGTCTCGTACTGTGGCTGTCGCAACGGAAATACATCCACAATTTTGTCATAAAAAGACTGAAATATCGGTCGTGGCAATTCCATGAACGCACAAAATTTCATTATTCCGGCTAGTCCTACTCCTGATAGTCGCATTGCTAGCACGATTCGATGATTAATTTCATAGGCGTTTCGAATAAATTTTACGCGTTTTTACTCTACGGAATATTCACGTCCTTCGTGTATATGTGCTGACGCTATTCTAAGATGATTTTGATTCAAATGCTGTAATTTAGTAACGGAGTGTTCCTGATTGGTAGGTCGGCGGTAGGGATTTCAATCCCGAGAATCCCGGGATCCCGTACATATTTAAATCTCGAAAATTATCCCGGGAAATCGATTATGATTTCGGGATTATGTTTATGTCATTAATTTACTATTTTTTGAAGAATAAGACTCGATCTGCCGGTTGGCTTGATCTATTGATCTATAAATTAATTTTATTTTGCTAAACAAACAACAGCCAGCTGTCCAGTTAACCAAGAATGCACTCTTCAATACATTGATTCAAGAAATTCATGTATTCAATCATGGCGGTAGCATGGGTAAAAATCTTCAATTCGCTTTCGAATGTTTGAAAACTATTCTACCAACAAGTGTGGAATTGGAACGGTGCTTCTCTTCAGTAGGTTTATTAAACACAAAATTTAGATATCGTTTAGGAGATAAAACAATAAATAAATTGTTTGTTCTCATTTCTTTAAGAATAGTTCTATGGATGGTAGATTTTTGTATAATGCCTTGTATTATGGTTAGAATAAACTGTAACACCTTGAACACTTTTTATTTATAATTACATCTGTAACCCATAAAACTCTGGATTACCCGGGATAGAGAATTCTGATCCCTAAATCCCAGAATTATAAAAACCCTTATTGATTGCAATCCCTAGTCGGCAGATAGCAGAAATTTCGAAACAATATTTTTTACAAATATAGAATTGTTTTCTTCTTATTCTACAATGTTTCAAGACTCTTTAAGGCCAATAAAACAAATCGACTTTTTTAAAAATCTACAGTGGTGTTACCCCTTAAACAGTGATTATCTTGGAAACAGAGAACTTTAGAGAAGATTGGTATGTATACCAAATTTATGTAAAACTGTCTGAGAAACTGTTTCAAGTTGTATGAGTTGTCAAAATTTTAACGATTACAAAGATATGACTACTTTTAGGGAGTTTTTTAGGGTAGGCAGCGCCATATGAAAGATAGATCAAAACTAATACCATATTATTATTTATTGTCTTAAAAAATAATAATGTACCAATTTTCATGTTCATAATCTAAGAGATAAACGAAATTATTAAAGAAAAACAAAAATTAAATATTAACTTTAAGCATCTGTATCTTCGTTATTATTAACAATTGGACTAAGATAAATTGAGTTAAATCGTAATAATTTAACGTAAGGAATTCACTGTTGCTCTGTATCCCATTACTAATGGACCACCCTGTATAATCTAATTATGTTATGTTTAGAAATCAATATTTAGAAACTGGAAAGCTTTCTGATGAAAATATAAAACAAGAACCGGTTGATACACTGTCACCACCCGGGTTACGTCGAATGGTTCTAGGTCAAATGGAAACTAACGAAGCTAGACCTACACCAAACGATGAACCCCCACCGGGATTAAGCAGAATGGTTCTTGGACAAACCGAAAGTGGTCCGAATATGAAACTTGGTTTTTCGAGAATGATTCCGGGTGAGTCAAGCTCCCCAGAAACATCCAGACAATACCCACCCCCAGTTTCTTCATACATGGATGAACCACAAGATTCGGAAGGTGAAATCAATCAAGCTCCCCAACAAAGATCTGCAACAATCGGAGCTGATACCCCGCCGGGTCTTCAAACTAACTCAAATAGAGCAGAAATAATTATCGGGCAAGATTCGATTTCTCAAGAAAATGATAAAGAACGCCCAGAAAGCATAGAAGGTCAACCAACTGACCCCGGAACTGTCACATCAATCACCTCGGGATTGCGAGATCTTACAATTGACTCAAACACTTCGATTATGGATGATCCATCAATACGTAGATCCACTTCCGATAGCGAAGCAGAAGAAGAATTAAGCAGATCATCGAGGGATAAACAACGAGATCGGCGATACACTCGCGAATCTGACCGTCGTCAACCCGAAAAACAACGCTATTCCCCCATGGAAAGCTACGATCATAATACAAAACGAGGTTATAGAAGGAGAGATCAACGTCATTACGACGACGACACCGATTATTACAGCGATCGGGAACAAAAGGAACGTGAAGATTACGAAATTAATCGAAAGTCAACCTCTTTAAGACGTAGTGATAAAGATTTAGATAAAAATAAGAGACGAAGAGATGGTTACGATCGACGCGGTGCAGAACGATATGAACGAGATATGCCAAGGAAAAAAGATAATTATGATCAAAAAGATTATAATCGGAAAAGTGATCGAAATAAGGAAGGTTATGAAACCAGGAAAGATTACGATATGGATCGGAAAGATGGAAGGGATTACGGAAAAGGGAAAGATTATAAGAGGGATCGGAGGGACTATGAAACAAGTAGAAATAAAGGTGATTATTATGATAGGTATGGAAGGTATGATGATCGATATGATGACCGATCGAGGCCTTCAAGTCGATCGGATTCGATGAGGGAAGGATTTAGAGATCGTGATGAAGAAAGGAGATATAGGGATTCGAGAGGTTCAAGGAGGCATAATCGCGATTTTAATCCTTATATGCAAGTAAGTGATGGAATTAAGTTGTTTCATTATTTTAAGCTCCATCTTTGAACCAATGATTCAATTAATTGACATATAATATATAACTTAAAAAGCGATTTGTGACCAAGGTTTTTATATAGGAGGTTGTCTAGGTTTATACGCAACCGTACTACGCATTACGTCATAAGCGTTGTTCGTTGGGACTGTACGACATGGCACTAGTAGTATGACGTCATAGTGCAATTAAGTGTAAGAAAGTGCAATGTCTTGTCAATTGAATGCAGGTCAGAAAAGTGTGTAAACCGTGGTTGCAACGAATAGATTTTTATCAAAAAAAGTGTATAATGTGTTGAGGTTATGTTAATGTCAAAAAAAATAGGAGTATAACTTTATACAGAGTGTCTCCGAAATGCGTGTACAACGGAAGACCACAGATTCCTTGGCTGAAAATAGGTCGATTTAAGTTAAGTTATCTATATCCAAAGTTGCTTCTTTTCGCCGCTAGAGGACTTCAAAGTTAGCAAAAAAAATTCTTTTATTTTTTATAACTCGAAAACACGTAAATCAATTGTGAAACCATTTTTCTGAAGTGAGTTCCTAGCTTCAATTAACGTCTTTTTATGGTTTTTGATACAATTTTAGAACCACAGGAATGATGGAAAAGTCATGTGTTCCCGGATATTACTCCATATTTTTTTTCTGGCTAGGCGACAATTACATTTGTTAGGTTCTTTTTCCCTTTGTACCCGGTTCCCGTAAAATAAAACGCACCACACAGTTTAACCGCTTTATTTCACAACTTCACAACTCAACATAACCTCTCACAACATAACCCTCTCGCGCCCGTTATATCGCTACTATTGATTTCTTTTTTTTTACATTTTATTATTTTACTAATAGATGGCACTACATTCAGCCTCGCTACTGTTTGAATCGTCCTCGATTCGTTCTTCAAAATCCTCCGGAAGTTGACACCAAGGTTTCATCAGGTCTGCTGCAAATATTGAGTTGAACTTCTTTGAGTACTTTGAGTACGTTGCGCACCGGGTACATCCACCAAATGGTATCGGTCATTTCCTAGCACTTCATTAACTAGGTAGGGTACTTTGTAGAGTGGCATCATCTTTCGTGGTTGCCCTGTAGCTGAAGCTTCACGTTTTATCAGTACTAGATCGCCCTCTTGATATCTTCGTGGTTTTTTATATTTCTTGTCGCTTATATCTTTTTGTATCTTCTGCATCTTTTCGATGTTTTGTATCGCTATTTCTCGTACTTTAAATAACTGATCGTCTTCTAATTTGTTATCTTCTTCTAAGGCCATAATAACGTAATTCTGTAGAATGTTTCTCTGTTGAAAACCAAATAGTAACTCATGCGGGGTCTTCTTCGTAGTTTTATTCATTTGACTATTTAATGCAAACTGAATTTCTCTCAATTTTGTGTCCCAAGCCCGTTCATCATCATGATGCATTGTTTTAATCTCTGTCATGATCGTTTGGTTAAATCTTTCCACCTGTCCATTTGCTCTAGGTGTAGCTGTCGCGTTTTTTATGTGTTGAATGTTGTTTTCCTTACAAAAATCTTCAAAATCTTGTGACGTAAACGCTGTTCCTCGATCAGTAATTAGTCTTGTCGGACATCCAAATATACCAGTTATCTCTCGCAATATCTCAATAGTTGGTTTCGACTTTGAACTCTTCACTGCTCGGATAAAGACGTACTTGGTGAAGTTATCCACACCAACCAAAATATGAGTATTTCGTCGCTTGCTGATTGGAAAGGGGCCCAGATGATCAATATTTACTGTATTAAAAGGGATAGGAATTCGTTCGATGTTGTGTAATTCAATTTCTTTTCTTGCAGATATCTTGTGATATGCACACTCAACACAAGATTTAATATAATTCGTGACTCGTTTTCGCATTTTTGTAAACCAAAAATAACGCTTCAGATGATCTAGTGTTTTCTCCAACGCATAGTGACCCATGTCATCATGACTTCCCTTGATTATTTTCCAAATGATAGCTTTTGGTACCACCCATCTTCGACCTATCGGCCCTTTNAACATAATGCTCATACGTCTCATCTCCACGTTTAACGCGCTTAGACAAATCAAAATGAATGTCGGCCTCATCTACTACCGTTGGAAAATCATCAATTAGTTGTTTTTTAAAAGTTTTCCAATCATAAACCACGTTTTGAACGCTTTCAAACCACAGTTTCGCCGCGCCGTTTAATTTAATTATAGCATTATACAATAACGTTTGATCATCCCACTTAAAAATCATTGCTAAACTTTCCGCGCTTTTAATCCATTGCCGGGCTGTCAACGAATTTGATTTACCTGGATTAAAATCCGAAATAACCTGCTGCATTGTGTTATGGTAATGTACCGAAGTTCTAGCGCCGTCTGCGTTGTCTAATCTTCGTTCTCTTTGCAATAATTCTTTCTCCTTCTTCAACAAATCACGTTCCTGCTGCAAAAGTCGTCTTTCCCACTGGATGTTAATATTAAATTCACCGGTTGCGTCCAACGTAACCTCTTCGCCTTCGTTTCCACCGTCTGTGTTCGATACGAAGCTGTTTTGATCCATTTTAATCACGTTTTTGTTTTAATAACACTTTTCTTCGATTCAACTTTATCTACTTATCCCTCCGCTGCAATTGTTAGGTTCTTTTTCCCTTTGTACCCGATTCCCGTAAAATAAAACGCACCACACAGTTTAACCGCTTTATTTCACAACACCACAACTCAACAAAACCTCTCATAACATAACCCTCTCGCGCCCGTTATATCGCTACTATTGATTTCTTTTTTTTACATTTTATTATTTTACTAATAGATGGCACTACAATTGTATTGTAATAAGGTGTACCATTTGAAAAAGGTTAGCCCCCCTTAAATATTAAAAAGTCGGCGCCACTGGTGCAGTCCCAACGAATAAAGCTATTGGCGGAAAATAATACAGGGAAATAATTCAAATTTTTAAAATAATGTATTACGTTAATATATTTGTGTGGAATATAATTAACTGCGGTAGTAAAACGGAAAATAATTCAATTTGATTTTTATATTTTTTTTCACTTATTATAAAATAATTGAGGGAAACTAAAGTACTAATTGATTGACACTTCAACTCTCACTAAACATAACCTTGAGGTTGCGCGCGCAATCTGCCGCCAGTTACGTCACGAAACACTTCCGCTGTTGCCCTTCGCCCACAAATTAAAATCAAAGTATTGCAGTATAGGAACCTAGACAACCTCTTATACGGGTGAGTTTTTTTCCATGTTTAATATGGAGATTTGAAAACTAGCGGAGATAGAGAGACGATTAAATATGGAAAGTATTGCAGTTTCATGAACTCAATTTAATGCTAGGTTTCTCGAAAAAACCGTTTTTTTTTGCTATATCGTTCGATACCTATGGTTCCGTTATTATTGATTTTAGGAAAAATGTGTAAAGAAAAAATTTGTAGGGTATTATACAGGATGATTCACATAAGAACCGACACAGAACAGGGACATGTAGAGGACAATAAATTAAGACGATTTAACACAACTTATCTCTATACTAAGTTGTACTCCTGAGGAGTTATAGGCCTTCAAAGTAATACATTAAGTTAGAAAAACCAAATTTGGTATACGTTATGAGTGTACCGAGGGTATTAATTGGTAGCAAGTTGAGACCAATTGAGGCATTTGAAAGGGTTGATTACGGGTGATGGTCCCCTAAATTTTGACAGATTTTTTTAATCTTTTGGTGGATTCAGCACGTCGCCAGCACGAATCCATCAAGATGCATCGGTTTCAACACAAGTTGCATCTGAAGCAGGCACGTCACAACGTACTGTCGTAAGAGAACTAAAAAAGCATAGATTTCATTCATATAAAATGGAAGTTTCACAAACACTACCCCCAGATGAGTACAATAAGGGTGTAATAGTATATTAAAAAACAAGTTTCGTAAGACATGCTTAAAATGCACGAATTCAAGTTGAAAAACGAGTGGCGAAGCCACGAGTTTTTTAATGAATGAGTGCTTTAAGTCTTATGAAACGTGTTTTTTATGCTATTTTTTGTAATTCGCGTTTTTATCCTTTTTTTTCTCAAAAATAAAATAAATTTTGACAATGTAGGGAAATAGGTATGTAGCAGTTGGTAACACCGTAACACTTGAAAATAGAAATTTGAATTGACAATTAGAAACTGTCAAAACACAAAATGTATTCACCTGACAAAAATGTTTCATGTACACCTCCCAAAATAAGAGAAATTGTTCAGTGTTCAATGTCCTCATCATTGTGGACCTTGTATTCGATGCTAAGAACGTATTTAAACATCCATAGACAAAAATTGTCACATTGACAACTAGAAAAATTAATGAAGCAATGTCACCAACTTGAACTGGCTCCATAAAATTTTACTAAAATCTCATTACAGCATCGGATGCTGTAAGGAGTCTCATTACAGCATCGGATGCTGTAAGGAGTCTCATTACAGCACCCGTTTGAGTACTGTTAGAGCTTTCATTACCGTCGCGAATTACAAATAATATTTTTTTCGCGACGGTAATGAAAGCTATAACAGTACTCAAACGGGTGCTGTAATGAGATTTTAGTAACATTTTATGGAACCAGTTCATGTTGGTGACATTGGGTCATTAATTTTTCTAGTTGTCAATGCGACAATGTTTGTCTATGGATGTTTAAACACGTTCTTAGCATTGAATACAAGGTCCACAATGATGAGGACATTGAACTCTGAGCAATTTCTCTTATTTTGGGAGGTGTACATGAAACATGTTTGTCAGGTGAATACATTTTGTGTTTTGACAGTTTCTAATAAAATTGTCAATTCAAATTTCTATTTTCAAGTGTTAGGGTGTTACCAACTGCTACATACCTATTTTCCTACTTTGTCAAAATTTATTTTATTTTTGAGAAAAAAAAGGATAGAAACGCGAATTACAAAAAATAGCATAAAAAACACGTTTCATAAGACTTAAAGCACTCATTCATTAAAAAACTCGTGGCTTCGCCACTCGTTTTTTAACTTGAATTTGTGCATTTCAAACGTGTCTTACGAAACTTGTTTTTTAATATACTATTACGTGGTTTATTAACATGTCTGAAGCTGATCATAGCTTAGATTACAGTTTTGTGGACAGATGAAACACGATTTACAAATTGCGACATGTTTAATAGACCTAATCAACATTTATGGATGCAGGAAAATCCGCACCATGTTCAAGATAAGAGATCTCAAGTTAAGTTTGGATTTAATGTTTGGTGCGGTGTCATTTGTTCAAGATTTGTTAAATGGAGGTCGTTATCTTCACTTTCTACAGAACGAGTTCGATATGTGAATGAATTATTCCTGCAGACACGTCATTTGCTTAAATGGTTTCAACACGATGGGGGACCACCACATAATAAGCTAACGGTACGAAATCATGGAAACTTACGTTTGCGTTAAGCTGTCATAACTAAACGTATCTATCAATTGTTTCCATAGTGTACTACCTGAACAGTTTGCAAATTAAAAGAATAAATGGCTATAATTTATTTATTAATAAAAATATCTATGTCAAGTGGTATATCATTAGAATCGTTGAGAAAATGCCTTTTTTATAAAGTTATGGTCAACCATTAGAAAAATTACAAGTTTATGTCATAACTCAAAAATTATTGCTTAAATAAAAAAATCAGTTAGACTGTTTTGTTAAACATATAATACTCTACAAATTTCTTATTTACACATTTTTCCTAAAATCAATAATATAGGGTCATCCACGACGACCGCCCATTAGATGTTTCTGGGGTTCTGGCCAAAATAAAAATTTGAAAATACAGATTTAAGTATTATCAATAGCGTTCTCTTCGACTAAAATATTTTCAGATTTCTAGCACTTCCGGTTATACCGGAAGTCGCCACCTACTTTATTTTTTTAAATGGAACACCCTCTATATTTTTACATATTTGGATTTGTCTGTTTTCAAGGTTTATGAATAACTTTACTTTTTGTAATTTGATTCGGTCGTTCTCGAGTTATTCAAATTTTTCGAGAAAAATCTGCTTCAGCAGACATTTGTTCAAAAAATCAGAGAACACTCGATTTTTGGGATATCAATTTAGAATTCAGAACATGCTTAAACAACATGATGGAGTATGTTTTGGTACCGAGTACGGCTGTCTAGAACGTTTGGTCACTTTACTACGGCGCATTAACTTTTCGAAATGTGGAAGTACCATAACTTCATTTTTTTAAATGGCACCCCCCATATTTTATTACTTAGTCGTCTTCGGTGTCTCATTTTACACTTTTTATATCTGATATGTCCTATACCTAACATTAATACTTTGGGAGATAATTAAGGTTTTTTGAAAAAAAAAACAATAAACCTTGAAAACAGACAAATCTAAATAATATTTAGATTTGAATATTTATTTTTACATATTTTCGCCATATTTTTATAATCGCCATAACAATCAGTGCCCAATCATTATTGGGCACTGAAAAATTCTAAAGCCATTCGTGAGCAAAACTTCCAAGAATCGTGGAATTTTAATGTGTTTTGTGCGATAAAAAACGATAGAATTTTATCACTTTTCTTTTACGATGAAAACTTAAATTAGGAGAGATACCAAGGAATTTTACACAATGTGTTGGGGACAGCATTGCGACATCTTCCAGAATATGAAGCCTGTGATGCTTGGTATCAAATGGACGGTGCTCCTGCACATAGGACCAATGCAATGAGAGTTGTGCTAAACGATATATTTGAAGATAGATGTATTGGAATAAACGGGCCATACACATATCCACCACGATCTCCCGACTTAACTCCACTCGATTTTTTTATTTGGGGTTCTATTAAAGACCAAGTCTATGCGGATCCTGTAAGCGATAAAATCGACATGCAAAATAGAATTCGCGCTGCTTTCAATTCGTTACCCGGCAATTCTATCCGGGAAGCCACTAACCGTCACATGTTAAGAAGAATAGAAGCATGTTTAGGAGAAAATGGCAACGTTTTTCAACATTTAATTAAATAGTTATTTTTGTTATTTTACTTTTTACATTTTTTCTTTAGGTAGTAGGTACAGTTTCGTTTAAAATTAAATCTAATCAATAAAGTTTTGTTTCCTCTAGCAGCTTATTTGTTATCCAATGCG